ATGTAGGGGTTGTGTCACATGTGTATTTTTTTGTCACATGTGGTTTTTGTGTCACGTGTTTGTTTGTCACATGTGTAGGTTTGGTTTTACGGTAGGTTTTCACGTTTGTTTTGGGGACATGTGTAGTGTTTTCCATGTGTGTGTTTTGTAATGTGTAGTGTTGTGCAATGTGTATGTTGTGTCACATTGGGAGTGTTTTGTCCAGTGTAGTGTTGTTCCAATTTTGGGATGTTTTTACATGGTTTGTGTTTTGTACATGTGTAGTGTTGTGTCAATGTGTATGTTGTGTCAATTGTAGTTTGTTCACCGGTAGTGTTGGTCAAATGTTAGTGTTTTGTCACATGGTTTGGTTTTGTTCACATGGAGTTTGTGCAATGGTGTGTTGTTTTTCACATGGTAGTGTTGTGTCACATATAGTGTTGTGTCCTTTTTTAGTGTGTTCCATGGTAGTGTTGTGTCACATGGTTTGTGTTTTCACATGTGTAGTTTGTACATGGTTAGTGTTTTGTCACATGTGTAGTGTTTTGCACATGTTTAGTGTTGTGTCACATGAAATGTTTTGTCCATTGTGTGTTTTTGGGCACATTGAGTGTTGTGTCACATGGTAGTTTTGTTCACATTTTAGTTTTTTCACTGTGTATGTTTTGTCAATGTGTAGTTTTGTCAAAATGTGTAGGTTGTGTCACCTTTTTATGTTGTGTCACAGTGTAGTTTGTTCACAGTTATGTTTTTTCACATGTGTAGGTTTGGGCACATGTGTATGTTTTCACATGTGTTTTGTTCCATGTGTATGTTGTGTCACAGTGTAGTGTTGTGTACATGTGTAGTGTTTTGCACAGGTAGTGTTGTGTCCATTGGGATGTTGGTCACATGGTAGTGTTTGTCACATGTAGTGTTTTTTGTCACTGGTTTTTGTTGTGTCCCTGTGTAGTGTTGTGTCACATTTTATGTTTTGTTTTACATGTTAGTGTTTTTGTCACATGGTAGTGTTGTGTCACATGTTAGGTTGTGTCACATGTGTTTGTTGTCACATGGTAGTGTTTTTTTCACATGGTAGTGTTGTGTCCCTGTGTAGTGTTTGTCACATGTTGTGTTGTTTCACAGGTATGTTTGTCACATGTGTATGTTTTTTTCAATGTGTAGTGTTGTGTCACATGTGTATGTTTGTCAATGTGTAGTGTTTTTTTCACATGTGTGTGTTGTCACATGTGTAGTGTTGTGTCACTGTGTAAAAGGGGGGTTTGTGTCACATGTGTAGTGTTGTGTCCCCATGTGTTATGTTTGTACATGTGTATGTTGGTCCATGTTTTGTTTGTTCCATGTGAGTGTTGTGTCCATTTGTTTGTTCACATGGTAGTGTTGTGTCACATTGTAGTGTTGTGTCCATGTGTAGTGTTTTTGTCCTGTGTAGTGTTGTGTCACATGTGTAGTGTTGTGTCACATGTGTAGTGTTGTGTCACATGTGTAGTGTTGTGTCACATGTGTAGTGTTGTGTCACATGTGTAGTGTTGTGTCACATGTGTAGTGTTGTGTCACATTTGCATGTATTGGTATTCTCATTCTTATTCTTTTTTCTCTATATATTTGTTTAGTTCATATTATTTACTTTATTTTGATGTATTTCCCTGTTCTTGTTTACTCCTTATTCTCATCTTTACTCCATGTTTTTTCTTACTCGCAAGTTTTTAATTCATTTTCTTGCTTATTGCACATTCTTATGTACAATCTATTTTCTTGTTTAAGTCCTATTCCTATATTTACTCACTAGTTTACTTTCTATTCTTGTTTTTATCCTTATTACTCATTTTCTATTAACTTCTCTTAATTTGTCTTATTACCACTTCTCCTTTAACCCTTCTTTTTTACCACTTTTTTCTTTATCCTTCTTCTTTTATAGAAATGCGGCTCTCTCCTTCTTTCATTTCACTCTTCTTCCTTCCATATTAGTCATGTTTTCTTTCTTCTCTCTCCCTCTCCCTTCTCTGTCTTTCCCTCTTTCTGTCTTTTCCTTTCATATTCAGTCCTCTGCCTCTTCTTCTCTCTCTCCCTCTCTCTCTCTCTCTCTCTCCTCTCTCTCTTCTCTCTCTCTCTCTCTCTCTCTCTCTCTCTCTCTCTCTCTGTCTCTCCCTTCTCTCTCTCATTCTCTCTCTCTCTCTCTCTCTCTTCTCTCTCGTCTCTCTGTCTCTCTGCCCTCTGTCTCTGTCCTCTACTCTCTCCTCTCCTCTCTCTCTGTCTCTCTTCCTCTCTCTCTCTCTCTCTCTCTCTCTCTCTCTCTCTCTCTCTCTCTCGTCTCTCTCTCTCTCTCCCCTCTCTCTCTCTCTCCCCTCTCTCTCTCTCTCTCTCTCTCTCTCTCTATTATAAAATTAGTCAACAACAAAACGCTAAAGTTTTACAGGTGTTTAACAACTGCCTCAGTTTAACTAAGTTTCAGGACACAAAACTATGTTTCTCAGCAAATTACTTTTGATCCAAGGGATCAGAGTTACCGTCTACTACTCTGTTTCAAACGTGATTGTTCCCCATTCTCCAGGCGCTCTTTGACTCGCGGGTTTAGCTCTTCCCCACGAATGTAATTACAGTTGTAACATCAACGACAACAACAACAACATCGACAACAACAACAACCTCATCAACCTTAACAACAACAAACATCAACAACATCAATATCATCAACGACAACAATAATAATAATTACATCAACAACAGCAGCAACAACAACAGTAACAACAAAATCATCATCAACAATACAACATCAATAATATTAGCATCAACAACAATATCAACAACAACAACAGCATCATCAGCAACAACGAAAACAACAATGATTGATAGGTCACGCGTCAGGTGCACTATAGTCGGTGCACCTGACTCAAAGGTCAAATGCACTGAATCAGGTTCACCAAGTCAGATGCGCTGAATCAAGTGCGTTACGTCAGGTGCGTAGAGTCAGGTGCGTTAAGTTACGTGCACTTGGTCAAGTGTACTGAGTCAGATGTAATGAGTCAGGTGCACTGCGTCAGGTACACAAAGTCATGTGCACTGATTCAGGTGCACTGAGAAAAACACAAGAGTTACTCGCCGTTGCCTCAGCAACTGTACTCAGCGGGCAAGACCAGATGTGAGTCTTGTTCTCTCTAGACCCGTGTTCTCAGCTAGGAAGAACACTTCAGATGTGAGTCTTGTTCTCTCTAGACCCGTGTTCTCAGCTAGGAAGAACACTTCAGATGTGAGTCTTGTTCTCTCTAGACCCTGTTTCTCAGCTAGGAAGAACACTTCAGATGTGAGTCTTGTTCTCTCTAGACCCGTGTTCTCAGCTAGGAAGAACACTTCAGATGTGAGTCTTGTTCTCTCTAACCCTGTTCTCAGCTAGGAAGAACACTTCAGATGTGAGTCTTGTTCTCTCTAGACCCGTGTTCTCAGCTAGGAAGAACACTTCAGATGTGAGTCTTGTTCTCTCTAGACCTGTGTTCTCAGCTAGGAAGAACACTTCAGATGTGAGTCTTGTTCTCTCTAGACCCGTGTTCTCAGCTAGGAAGAACACTTCAGATTGAGTCTTGTTCTCTCCCAGACCTGTGTTCTCAGCTAGGAAGAACACTTCAGATGTGAGTCTTGTTCTCTCTAGACCCGTGTTCTCAGCTAGGAAGAACACTTCAGATGTGAGTTTTTGTTCTCTCTAGACCCTGTTCTCAGCTAGGAAGAACACTTCAGATGTGAGTCTTGTTCTCTCTAGACCCGTGTTCTCAGCTAGGAAGAACACTTCAGATGTGAGTCTTGTTCTCTCTAGACCTGTGTTCTCAGCTAGGGGAAGAACACTTCAGATGTGAGTCTTGTTCTCTCTAGACCCGTGTTCTCAGCTAGGAAGAACACTTCAGATGTGAGTCTTGTTCTCTCTAGACCTGTGTTCTCAGCTAGGAAGAACACTTCAGATGTGAGTCTTGTTCTCTCTAGACCCGTTTCTCAGCTAGGAATCCTTCAGATGTGAGTCTTGTTCTCTCAAACCTGTTTCTCAGCTAGGAAGAACCTTCAGATGTGAGTCTTGTTCTCTCTATACCCGTGTTCTCAGCTAGGAAGAACACATTCAGATGTGAGTCTTGTTTCTACTAGACCTTTTTCCACTAGAAGAACACTTTAGATGTGAGTCTTGTTCTCTCTAGACCTGTGTTCTCAGCTAGGAAGAACACTTCAGATGTGAGTCTTGTTCTCTCTAGACCCGTGTTCTCAGCTAGGAAGAACACTTCAGATGTGAGTCTTGTTCTCTTAGACCCGTGTTTCTCACTAGGAAGAACACTTCAGATTGATCTTGTTCTCTTAGACTGTGTCTCAGCTATGAAAACACTTCAGATGTGAGTCTTGTTCTCTCTAGACCCGTGTTGTTCAGCCTGTCGTTCTTCAATATTCACTGCAGTAGTATAACATTCCTTCAAATTGCAGTGAATTATTCTTATTCTTACTTTCCACACAGATATTAAGTGTAGCAGTGATAGTATAAACATTAACAACAATAATAATAGTAATACTTATAATAATAATATTACTCAAAATGAACGTAATAATATATGTTTTTCTTTCATTTGTTGTCGTTGATATGTTGTGTTGAATGTTGTTGTTTCTGTTGTTGGCTGTTGCTATCATGTTGTTGATTATATATTGTTACTCATCTTCTTTCTTCTTCTTTTTCTTCTTCTTTTTCTGTTCTTCTCTTCTTCTTCATCTTCTTCTTCTCTTCTCTACTCTTCTTCTTCTTCATCATCTTCTTCGTCTTTGATAAACGGGTTTAAAGCCTATCGACTACACAATGGGTTATTAACTTTACATATTTCACAAATTACATTTTCACAATACTTATTACCGTAAAATTAACAAAAATAATAAAATAACATTTATCACAACTGAGAGATTATATGATTCACAGAACCATTAATAATAGATTGAATGGGTGATGCGTGAGCTAGAGCTCGACGCATCAAGCATCATCCTTGAAAACTCTATATTGTGGTCACCATGGTGGCTCATGTTAACCTTGTTAGTGTGGTCACAATGGTGGCTCACGTTAACCTTGCTAGTGTGGTCACAATGGAGGCTCATGTTATCCTTGCTAGTGTGGTCACAATGGTGGCTCATGTTAATCCTTGCTAGTGTGGTCACAATGGTGGCTCATGTTAACCTTGCTAGTGTGGTCACAATGGTGGCTCATGTTAATCATTGCTATGTGGTCACAATGTGGCTCATCTGTTAAACCTTGCTAGTGTGGTCACAATGGTGGCTCATGTTAACATTGCTAGTGTGGTCAGCATGGTGGCTCATGTTAACCTTGCTAGTGTGGTCACCATGGTGGCTCATGTTAACATTGCTAGTGTGGTCAGCATGGTGGCTCATCTTAACCTTGCTAGTGTGGTAACAATGGTGGCTCATGTTAACCTTGCTAGTGTGGTCACAATGGTGGCTCATCTTAACCTTGCTAGTGTGGTCACCATGGTGGCTCATGTTAACCAAACTAGTGTGGTCACAATGGTGGCTCATGTTAACCTTGCTAGCATGGTTACAATGGCAGCTCATGTTAACCTTGCTAGTGTGGTCACAATGGTGGCTCATGTTAACCTCGCTAGTGTGGTCACAATGGTGGTTCATGTTAACCTTGCTAGTGTGGTCACAATGGTGGCTCACGTTAACCTTGCTAGTGTGGCCACAGTGGTGGCTCTTGTTAACCTTGCTAGTGTGGTCACAATGGTGGCTCATGTTAACCTTGCTAGTGTAGTCACCATGGTGGCTCATGTTAACCTTTCTAGTGTGGTCACAATGGTGGCTCATGTTAACCTTGCTAGTGTGGTTACAATGGTGGCTCATGTTAACCTTGCTAGTGTGGTCACCATGGTGGTTCATGTTAACCTTGCTAGTGTGGTCACAATAGTGGCTCATGTTAACCTTGCTAGTGTGGTCACAATGGTGGCTCATGTTAACCTTGCAAGTGTGCTCACCATGGTGGCTCATGATAACCTTGCTAGTGTAGTCACATTGGAGGCTCATGTTAACCTTGCTAGTGTGGTCAAAATGGTGGCTCATGTTAACCTTGGTAGTGTGGTCACAATGGTGGCTCATGTTAACCTTGCTAGTGTGGTCACCATGGTGGCTCTTGTTAACCTTGCTAGTGTGGTCACCTTGGTGGCCCATGTTAACCTTGCTAGTGTGGTCACAATGGTGGCTCATGTTAACCTTGCTAGTGTGGTCACAATGATGGCTCATGTTAACCTTGCTAGTGTAGTCACAGTGGTGGTTCATGTTAACCTTGTTAGTGTGGTCACAATGGTGGCTCATGTTAACCTTGCTAGAGTGGTAACAACGGTGGCTCATGTTTACCTTGCTAGTATGGTCACAATGGTGGCTCATGTTAACCTTGCTGGTGTGGTCGCCATGGTGGCTCATGTTAACATTGCTAGTGTGGTCACAATGGTGGCTCATGTTAACCTTGCTAGTGTGGTCACCATGGTGGCTCATCTTAACTTTTCTAGTGTGGTCACCATTGTGGCTCATGTTAACTTTGCTAGTGTGGTCACCATGGTGGCTCATGTTAACCAAACTAGTGTAGTCACAATGGTGGCTCATGTTAACCTTGCTAGCATGGTTACAATGGCAGCTCATGTTAACCTTGCAAGTGTGGTCACAATGATGGCTCACGTTAACCTTGCTAGTGTGGTCACAGTGGTGGCTCATGTTAACCTTGCTAGTGTAGACACCATGGTGGCTCATGTTAACCTTGCTAGTGTGGTCACAATGGTGGCTTATGTTAACCTTGCTAGTGTGGTCGCCATGGTGGCTCATGTTAACCTTGCTAGTGTGGTCACAATAGTGCTCATGTTAACCTTGCTAGTGTAGTCACAATGGTGGCTCATGTTAACCTTGCTAGTGTGGTCACAATGGTGGCTCATGTTAACCTTGCTAGTGTGGTCACAATGGTGGCTCATGTTATCCTTGCTAGTGTGGTCACAATGGTGGCTCATGTTAACCTTGCTATTGTGTCACCATGGTGGCTCATACTAACCTTGCTAGTGTGGTCGCCATGGTGGCTCATGTTAACCTTGTTAGTGTGGTCACAATAGTGGCTCATGTTAACCTTGCTAGTGTAGTCACAATGGTGGCTAATGTTAACCTTGCTAGTGTGGTCACCATGGTGGCTCATGTTAACTTTGCTAGTGTGGTCACCATGGTGGCTCATGTTAACTTTGCTAGTGTGATCACCATGGTGGCTCATGTTAACTTTGCTAGTGTGGTCACCATGGTGGCTCATGTTAACCAGACTAGTGTGATCACAATGGTGGTTCATGTTAACCTTGCTATCATGGTTATAATGGTAGCTCTTGTTAACCTTGCTAGTGTGGTCACAATTGTGGCTCATGGTAACCTTGCTAGTGTGGTCACAATGGTGGTTCATTTTAACCTTGCTAGTGTGGTCACAATGGTGGCTCACGTTAACCTTGCTAGTGTGGTCACAATGGTGGCTCATGTTAACCTTGCTAGTGTGGTAACCATGGTGGCTCATGTTAACATTACTAGTGTGGTCACAATGGTGGCTCATGTTAACATTGTTAGTGTGGTCACAATGGTAGCTCTCGTTAACCTTGCTAGTGTGGTCACAATGGTGGCTCATGTTAACATTGTTAGTGTGGTCACAATGGTGGCTCATGTTAACATTGTTAGTGTGGTCACAATGGTAGCTCACGTTAACCTTGCTAGTGTGGTCACAATGGTGGCTCTTGTTAACCTTACTAGTGTGGTCACCATGCTGGCTCATGCTAACGTTGCTAGTGTGGTCACCATGGTGGCTCATGTTAACCTTGCTAGTGTGGTCACCATGGTGGCTCATGTTAACCAAACTAGTGTGGTCACCATGGTGGCTCATGTTACCCTTGCTAGTGTGGTCACCAGGGTGGCTCATGTTAACATTGAGGTGGTCCCATGGGGCTCATGTAACCTTGCTAGTGTGGTCACCATGGTAGCTCATGTTAACCTTGTTAGTGTGGTCACAATGGTGGCCCATGTTAACCTTGTTAGTGTGGTCACAATGGTGGCCCATGTTAACCTTATTAGTATGGTCGCAGTGATGTTCCATGTCAACCTTCCTATCATATCAATGTACGTAGTTCGACGAGTCTTGTCAGTGGATAAGGCTCTCTTCTGCTGGTTTAATGACTAGCTAGTCATGGCCTTCAAGTTAAAGGCGTAGTTTCAATGTCGTGAGTGTTGTCAGCGCTGTCAGTGCTATAAGTGTTATTAATAATGCCAAGGCAACTAGCGTTGTCACTGTTGCCAGGAGTATTGATTCATTATATATTCGTTTAAATTTCGTTCACCAGCTAAGGTCCTTTCCAGCACATAGGACCTCAAAAATTTAATATGGATAAACTTTCCGGTTTCTTGTCAATAGTCTGGGGCTATAACCTTTCATTAGCAAGTGTTCGTTACAGTAATACCTGAACTGATGTAACTTTTAATATCTGTTAAAGGGGTGGAGGGGTTAATAAATTTCTAACAGCCAGGGAAAGGTTTCAATAACATGACGACATCAAACACTTTACTTCTCATCGTATGTTTAAAATCTGCTTCAGGAAACGCTCGTTATGTCTCCCACTTCTTGTCACCAACACATCCTTATATATATTACGTTTAATGTTCAAAAAATGTATGGGAGTGCTATTTCCTTTTCAATGGAATTATAATTACACAGCTTATGAAATAAAAACTTGAATATGTTTTGCCCACATGTGTAGTTTTGGGTTCAAAAATGTGTAGTTTTTGGGGCCCCACATTTTGTAGTTTTTGGCCAAAAGTGTAGTTTTATTTCACATGTGTAGTTTGTCACATGTTAGTGTTTTTTCACATGTGTAGTGTGTCAAAATGTGTAGTGTTTTTGTTCACATGTTATTTTGTGTCACATGTGTATGTTGTTTCCACTTTTGATGTTTTGGGGAAAATTTCTAAATCTATTTTTTTTTCTCTATATATTTTGTTTTAGTTCATATTATTTATTTTATTTTATGTTTTTTCCCTGTTTTTGTTTTTCTTCCTTTTTCCCTCATTTTTAAAATCCTTTGTTTTTTTTTAACTCCAATTTTTTTAATTCATTTTTTTCCCTTATTGAAACATTCTTATGTACAATCAATTTTTTTTTTAAAAGGTCCTATTCCTATTTTTTAACCACTATTTACTTTCATTCTTGTTTAAAGTCCTTATGCTAAATTTTTACTCTCTAATTTTTGTCTATTCAAGCTTGCTCCTTAATCTTTTTTAAATTCCCCACTTCTTCTTTACCCCTTCTTTTTGTTATACATGCTTTTTATTCTTTTTTTCCTTCTTTCTTCCTATTAAAAGTTTTTTTCTCCGAAAACCTCTCCCTCCCCCTTCCCCTGTATTTCATTTTCCCGGGGTTTTTCCTTTCAAAATTCAGTCCGGGCCTTTTCTTTCTTCTCTCCCCCTTTCTACCCCTCTCCTTTTTCCCCTCTCTAAACCTGCTTTTCTCCCCTCTCTCTCTCTCCCCCACCCCTTCTCCTCTCCTCCCTACCCCTTCTCTCCCCTTCTTCTCCTCTCTCCCCTCCGCCCTCTCTAAAACCTCTCTTTTGCCCCTCTCTCACTCTCCCTCTCTCCCCTCCCACTCCTCTTTTCCCCTTCTCTGTCCCCTCTTTTTTCCCCTTTCTCCCCCTCTCTCTCTCTCTCTCTCGCTCTGTTCCCCTGTCCTCTGTCTCTCTGTCTCTCTGCCCTCTACCTTCCTCTCCTCTCCCTCGTCCCTTTTCTGCTCTTTTCCTCCTCTCTCTCCTCTCTCTCTCCTCCCTCCTCTCCCTCTCTCCCCTCTCTCTCTCTCCTCCCTCCTCCTCTCTCTTCTCCTCTATTATAAATTATCAACAACAAAACGCTAAATTTTTAAAACAGGTGTTTAACAACTGCCTCATTTTAAAAATTTTTCAGGACCCCAAAACTAGGGTTCCCCGAAAAATTATTTTTGACCAAAGGATAAAGGATTACCGCTACTACCTGTTTTAAAACCCTTGATTGTTCCCCTTTCCCTCCGGGCGCTCTTTAAACTCGCGGGTTTAGCTTTTTTCCCCAAACGAATGAAAATTACAGTTGTAACA